ACAAATTCAAAAACCTCCGTGCACGGATGTTTTCGAACCTCTGTGCACAGAGGTATGGAACCTCCGTGCACCGGGGTTCCCCCAACTTTAAAATTTCACTTATATAAATATGAAGGTAAAAATCTAAATACTTAATACTTACCTTTTATTATGGATGTTGCTTACTGAAATATGGTTGACTTTGATTTTAGGTAGAGACTGAAGATTTTGGGATATAAAATAAATGATATAGATAAGGATAAGATATAAATGATATGTGTGATAATAAAAAGTCTTCTACACAAACAAAATATTCTTTTTTCACTATTTATTATACATATACATATTTCTATATTATTTAAATTAAATGAATTGATCTATAGCATCATTTTTTTTCGACAAATAAATATAAAATGTAAATATTTCTTCCAATATTATTTAAACTAAATCTTATCTTCATTCATTAAAACAATTCAAAACTATTTCTATATTATAAGTACAACTTCACTTCTCTACACTATATATTAAACGTCTGGCATAGTCCTCATATGTTTGCCTATTCCAAACTGTCACGTTTTCAAATTTTAATAAAATAAAATAATAAGAACTAATAAAATAATCTTATATTCCATTACAGCCATATCTTTGTACTATAAATGAAATTTGAAAGTAATCTCCATATCTTATACCAGTGATTATACAGTAACGTACGACTATTTAGATAATAAGGTATGGCTGTTGATGAGATTTTACAATGTAAATTATTTTATTTGTTTTAACCATAAAAAAAGTTTCATATTCAGTCTTTCCTTTTTTTAGTTTATTTATCCCATCTATGTTTCATTTTTTACAACTGACACATGAACACATAAATACTTTAACAACGTCCTTCCAACATCGTATACCCAACATTAAAATATTTATTAAGCCATTATATCTCAATTTTTTTTTTTATAAATAGGCTAACACAAAGCTTCAGCTTCACATATGCAACTCCAAAAACACAAAAATTATCATTACCATTTAGAGCTTCCATACTTTAAGAAATTCTAACTTCTACTCATACTGTCTTCTTCTTCCTACATATCAACAATTGCTATGACAAAATGGTTGTATCTCATAAATTTATTCCACAAATTTTAGCTTCAGAAACCAATTGGTCGGCAAAAGTAATCGTCGCAGGAAAACAATCCCCAAAGACTGCTCGGAATTCCAATAGTCGTTATCAAAATCTTACTCTCATGGATTTAGAGGTACAAATATAACTCTTGTTTCAATAAATTTTTACTTATCATTATACCTGTATACTTTCTAAATGTTCTCATCTTTTTCTTTTTTTGAACAGGAAAACAAAATCACAGCAACAATGTATGATGCCAATATCACTGCACTAAATGATCAGTTTCAACTTGGAAAAACATACATTGTGTCAAATGCAACAGTTAAAGATTTCAAAAGTGAATTTCGGAGTTCTCCTGGACAAAAAATGTGGAATATAACACGAAGAACAAAGGTTGAAAAATTAAATGAAGACAATTTGAATCTCCTGTTCTCAAAATTTAAACTTACTGCGTTTGATCAACTAGAGAGGCATATGGACAAAAATACAAACATAAGTAAGATTTCTACTGCATTACATTTAAACAAATCATTTCATATAACATTTCATAATTTATTTTTTACGTACAAATTTATTTCATGCAAAATGACATGTAAAATATTTCATAATTAATTTTTACGTTCAAAGTTATTGCATGCAAAATAACATATAAAACAATTTACGTAACCTTGTAGGCATGATAAGTATCGCTATAGGTATTCGACAGAAACGTCTTATTCAAACTAACTTTGGTACAGAAGCTTATCTACAAGATGTAGTCTTGATAGATAAAGAATTCAAAACTATTATACCAACATTATGGGATACCTTTGTCGAAAGAGAATGCACTTCGATAATTGAACATCTTCCAAATAGACCCGTGATATGGACTACAAATCTCAAAGTTTCTTCGTTCAACGGTAAATTTCTCTTACAAATATAGTTCCATCTATAATATTATTATTATTTTTTCATGTAAGATATTCCTAATTTCTTTTGTACAGGCATCACACTTTCGACCAAAATAAATAGCAATTTTTTCATTAATGTCCAACTACATGCTGTTACGGAGTACAAAGAATGGTAATACAATATACCTAATATACATATTGCTTATTTACGTACCTTTAATATAAAAAAACAAAGGTTCTATTTTATAACTAAATATATCGTTATTTCTTGTAAGGTGGAAGCTAATAAGGAAGCGCTTGACAAACTGACGGAAAATAAACCTTTTATTGCTGTCAGCCCACCCAAACTTTCTCCTCATACTGATAATGAATTGACACCGATAGAGGATTTATTAGGGATGTATCTAACGGTATTTCTATACTAAAATAAACTGAATATAATTAATAGAAACACATTATCTTTAATTTCACAATAAATATTATAGTAACATCATGTATTTTTCTCAATCGTATCCTTTTATCTAATTACATGAGACATCTCCTTTAACAGAAGAAATTCTATTGGGTGAATGCACGCTGGAACAAAAGACAAAATTTTGGTATATGTCTTGTAACAATTGCAATAAAACTTCCAACGCGAACTTTGGAGAAATTCATAAATGTCGATTCTGCAAGTACGAACACTCAAAAGCTATCCCAATGTAATTTCTTCTATTAAATATAAGTTCAAAAATTTACTAATTATTACTTCAGGAACAAGGTACATGGCTAAAAAAAAAAATACGCATTCTTTAGGGTAAATGCTTTTGTACAACTTGTAGTCAAATCTAGTTCGTTAGATGCAACCATCATAGGAGATGCAGAAGAAGTGTTACTGGAAAGTAGTGCCAATGACTTAATGAACCATCTTCAGAAAGTAAAACATCATGTTCAACATCGTTCGAAAATGCTTTCTTTCTTAACAACAAACATGCCACTCTATTGAAATATATTTCGTCGACCACAGGAAGGTATTAAAGAACTCAATGACGTTGTCAAATTGGAAAGTGATACAGAGCTACTCTTTTACCTCAAGGCAACAGAAAAGCGCCACGACCCACCTGAGTACCGCTTTGAAATCATATTTGTGTTCAGCTCCTCCACGGCAAATCAAGTTGATTCCTCAATTGTTATAGAAGATACAAACAAGCAAATTGAAATGGAAAAAAATTCCAACAACAAAGACGTAAAAGGCAAGAACAAGGTGTCCGGACGACCTGATGACATTTCCACCGCTACTAAAGAAATCAATCCACTGAATGCAAAAATGTCTCTCTTCCAACTATCAAATGTACCTATTGAAGCAGAGTCAAAACCCAAAAAAGGACTCACACAAACTCCAAAATCGATGACCGAACCATTGGGATCACCTCAAAAGAAAAACATGAATGAATAACATCTATGATACTTTTGTGACAGTAAACAGTAATCAATGTTCTATTTTGTATTTATGAAAAAAGTAAAATGATATGTCTATATCTTTGTCTATGTACAAGATTTCAGATTCCACCGAATAGCAATAAATTACTGCTCTTGAAATTTAAAGTTTGTTGTACGCGTCTTACTTTCCTTTTTCTCCTTTCCATTGCAAAAATAGTGAAATATTACTATATTAAATCATTCCATTTCAAAATTAATATCATAGTTTACATCCAATGATTTTGTTTTTAACTAATGAATTCACTTTTTTTAAAACAATAAATTGATATCAACATTAAAAATTAAACAATTTTCAACATTAAAAACGCTAACATAATGTTCAACAGAATCCTGCCCGTGCATTGCATGGGCGATAGACCAGTGTACATAAAAATGCACAACTTTTTTGACATTAAACGAGGTATAAAAATCCGTGTCATTGATTGTTTTAAGAATTATTAAAATCAATGACTTGTCGAAATCAAATGTTGTCAACAAAACTTTGAAGCAGATTGTAATTCTAGGCACTGTTCAAAGAATGATAATATAGTTTGGCACGCGTGGGTACGTTTTTGTTATTTTGTACTTTCAGTAGGATCATTACCTTTTGACCTATTTCAAATTAACATGACGAAATTTTAAACTATAAAAAATCAATAACCAGCAAAGGCATTGCAAATAAAATCTCTCATTTTTCCCTCAAAAGGAACTCTGTTCTCCCTCGAGACTAGTGATGGCAGCGGAGCGGCAGCTTGCCCATTTGCTGACCCGTTTATTTTTTTATTATTTTTTCTCTTTACAGGACGAGGTCAATTCGGGTCGGGACGGGGCGGAAATTTTTGCCATCACTACTAAATTTTTGCCATCACTACTCAAGATGAAGAAAAAATATCCGTTCCTCGACTGCCAAGGGCATCTCAATTGCCTAATTATCTCTATTCTCATCGTTGGCTCCAGTTTACTCGTAGTGACATTTTGTTTAAACTTGCAACAAATTAATCGATCATTGCTTCCTCCTCAATTGGGCAACAGCATTATCGCAAAGCAACAATAGTAAAACAAAAACTACCACTCAAATCATCTTGAAAGTACATCATGATATGACAGACGAAGAATTGCTTCGGAGAGCTTTAATAGTTTCTAGCAAGGGAACATTTGCCTTTGGCTCCTCTGTGGGACAAGTTTTTCAAAGGAAACGAAGGGCTTTTCTCAATATATGTGCATTCTCACCCATCCTTTAATGGAACAGTTGCTGAAGCAGCAGTATTTCATGGCCGAAGAATTCCAATTGAGGTTAGTTTAACCCAAGTTATATTTTATTAGCTCAGATTTCAATAATCTTTTAATTTACATTGAGATCTATGAATACAACATGTTTACTGTATATAAATCAATATTTAAGTTATAAACTAAGTGCATCTACATGCATGGGACTATAAATTACTCATTTTTCTTGGGCTTGAAGAATTAAAAAAAAAAAAAAAAGTAGGAAAAGTAATTTATTGATGGACTTAGGTGAATATGTCCTAGAAGATTCAATACTGTAATAAATCCCTGTGCCATATGACAATATTAAGAGCCACAAAAGTGAGTTCTATCTTAAAAAAATCAATTAGTTAAGGGGAGTAGTATCGTCCATTTTGAAATTCATATGATTTTTTTATTAACTTTTAAGCAGATCAGATAGCTATAATTGATACCGCATTGAGTATCGTCCATTTTGAAATTCACATGGTTTTTTTATTAACTTTTAAGTGGATCAGATAGCTATAATTAATATCGTATTGAGTATAATGTAGTGTTTGTCCTCAACAAACCAAACAAGATGAAAAATTGGTGGTATGGAGCGCCATCTACTCTTTTTGGAAGGTCGAGTAGGTTAATAAATATCTGTTTACTAGAGTTTTGATATGAATCATTAGACTAAAGTTGGATGAAATTTTTATTTCAATCAAGGTTGATTAGGCATATGGCAACCTCTATATAGTATATGGGGAAGATAACATGAATATTTTTATTAGTTCACTGGCATCAAGTTATACTTGGTGTGATGTATTGAATATGACTATACACAAATATGTATAATGATCTTGTGTGTCATTCTTCGTTAATCTGAGTAAGTTCTCTCAAGTTAAGTATACCAAATATTTGCAACCTTGTAGTATATAAAGCATGATTAAATATATACGCAGGAGGTTGAATGGGGAAAATTCAGCATGATTGAAGCGGAACGTCGCCTACTAGCCAACTCACTACTCGATAATTCTAACCGACGCTTCATTCTACTTTCAAAAGCATGCATCCCTTAGTTCAACTTCCCCACAATCTACAGTTACCTAATGATCTCAAAAAACATCCGTGGAGGTCTACGATTTACAGGACACTGTCGGTTGCAGTCGATATAGCAAACGAATGAAACCCCTAATCAAGCTATATCAATGGAGAAAGGGTTCACAATGGTTCGAGATCGACCATAAGCTCGCGGTCGAAATCATCTCCGACGACAAATACTTACCATTGTTCAAAAGATTTTGCAAGACTACATGTTGTTTAGATGAGCATTACTTGCCTACATTTGTTAGCATGAAATATCGGAGGAGAAATTCAAATAGAAGTTTGACTTGGGTTGACTGTTCAGAAGGTGGGCTCCATCCAGCCAAATTTGGTAGAACAGAAGTGACCATTGATTTGTTGAAGAAGATGAGGAATGGAAGACAATGCTTGTGTAATGGAAAGACTATAAATATTTGCAAGCCAAATTTGTTGGGTTTGTGAGCCAAATTAGGGTGGATTTTGTTTATGAAAATATATTATTTTCTTATTTCACATTATTTCCATCTTTATACTATACTATGTACATATAAATAGTGATCTTTTCTTTCTATTTTGTTCAAGCAAGATTGCTAAGTTCTTGTATTTCTTTCCATATTATTGATTAATAAAATGTAGTGCTTCTACATTTAACTCTCTTTATTAATTTCTTTACTTTTAAATATTGTTTTGCAATCTTCATTACACATATCGTGTCATTAATCTTATTCACCACAATCCTTCTGAGTCCAACAAAATTTCCTTTCCAACTTTCGTGTTGATAAACAGCTTTCTATCTCAAATCTAGGTGTTATAGAAAAGTTTATTCATTTTATTAGTTTCTTCTCTATCGGTCCAAGAATAAAGAGTATTTTCAAATTTGTCTTACCTTCTTATATTAAGAATTGAAACGAAATTTCCCTACCTTGTAAATGTGAAATTCTACTTACCAAAATACCGAAATCTAACAATACGACAAAACAAGTACTCAAAAGGGTAGCCAAACATTCTTTGTCAAAAGATGTTGTTTCTCCATTATCTATAGATTAGATAGTTAATTCGGAGGTCATCCCACCACACTAGAGTTTTGATTTTTCAATAATCACTCAATTACGGGGAAGTTAAGGTGGGTAATATAACCAGTTTTAAGCTTATCACCCAATAATCCAATTTGTTGAAGGCTGACAAAATAAAGAGACAATCCCAATTATCTGAATTGCAATAAAAATATTAGTACAAATCTTAAACACCCCAGCCAGTTCAGTGAGACTGAACCTATGGATATGTCAACTTATTAGATAGTGCAACTAATAGCAAGAGAAGCAAAAGTTACACTATTATTCTCATTTAGTACTCACTCTTCATGAAATTGGCAATAGAGCCTTGAAAGCATAATTAACATTTCGGAGGGGAAACCCCACAAGTGGAAGCAATTTTCTTTGCATTTGGAGAGTTAACGTATTTATTCAAATTGGGATTCTTGAGATACTGGCAAAAGCAAGGCTGCTGCTCCTTGATCTTACTGCAGCAAAGTGGCGACGGTGGAGACCCCGACGAGATAGCCGACATGCAAGGGCTGAGTTCAGTTGGGTTGCAAGTTACACTCTCTGAAACATGTGCTCCACAGGCCAGAAGCAGTATCAGAACTGCACACACTGCAAATTTAGATGCCTGCATTTTGCAACTTGTGGGATATGAAGGAGTTGTTATTACTTGTGTGGTTGAGTGAAGAAGTATAGTATGATCAGTTCTATTTATAGAGAGGTGGATGAAAATTTTAGCCAGCTCCCTTTTTTCAAAATTTATTCTCAATTACGTGTAAAGTAATGTTACACGTAAATTTAAAACTCCTTTTGAATTAAACATTCTCCAAAAAAAAAAAAATAACTATTTTAAAACACATTTTCTTCCAAAAAAATTGTGAATTTTTAGGTGATGTACAAAAGTTTATTGTGTTGACTGCAGCCAAGCCACAATTTCTTTCAAGATTGTCTTGGACAACAGTGATGGAACCAGGATCCTAATAGCGGAATTTAGTTGCGAAGACTTTTCAAACACACTAAGGGCGTGTTAGATTGATAATATTTTCCAAGGGAAGTGTGTTTTTTCATTCAAATTCTTACTTTTGCGTTGTTTGATTACCATTTTTTTCATGAAAAAATATTTTCTTACTTTTGAACACGTGACTATATTTTTCCCAAAATCAAGAAAAATATTTTCTTTAAAGAGAGTGAGATTTTATTTTTCAGTGAAGTCACTCTCTTTTTCTTTCATCTACCCACCAATAAAAAATAAATAAATATAATATTTTCTAAGTTGAAAATTAAATTAATCAAACACATTTAATTGACAATTTTCATACAAATAAGTTCTAGACAATTGAATTACCTAAAATTTATTTTCTTTCTATGCAAATTTCATGCTTGTAATCAAACAGACCATAAAACTACATAATGTCATATAAAAAAAGTATATCTCATTAAATAAATAAATAATAAAAAAAATAACTTTGCCTCCCACTCACAATTTTTATAAGGTAACTTCAACCCTGTCACCAAATCCTCCTTTTCCCCCATTTTGCACCCAATGTTTGGTGTAATCCCATTCCAAACCTAACACCAACTTTTGCACCAAAATGGCTAATATCATTTTTGCCCTTCTTTTCCATTTTGCACCAACTTTTGTTAATGGTATTTGTGTCATTTTCTTGTTATACAACAAATTTAATTCCTAATCAATTATTATTACAGTTATAACTACTATTTTTAATACTATGATTATTATTGTTGTTATTATTCATTAAATTTATTAATGAATTCAATATTTTCATAATGAAACATAATGGTCTATTTAATAATTTATAAAGTAGTAGATTAAATAAATAATTTTTTATATGAATAAATTATTAAGCATGAAAAAAATGAAGAAAATTATTAAACACTCTTCAATTGATGCAACTTTTGGTATAATGGGTTGGAACTGATTTTGAGTTTAATGCAAAATAATGTAAATTTTGGTGTAGAGTTTGAAATGGTCTAAGACTTAATAGATAGTAAGTAAGGATGACTTGATACATATTTATCTGTCACACATAGAAGTTTGAAGCTATTAGAAATGGGCAATATTTATTTATTTGAATTTTAATCTTTGACTCTCTCATGAAACTTTAAGTCGAAAGAGCCGATTTCACTTTAGAAAATATTTCTTTTTAACACTGGAGTTTCTACTATGATGCTATTGGTTTAAAAAAATAAAAATAAAAAATAAAATTAGTTACTATGTAAATTCACATCAAATCTAAGGTGAAAGGATGGAAAAAAAGAAGAAATCAATCTAGTTCAAATCCTTCATAAACTATAGTGGATATTTATATGGGAAAATTGTAGTAACGGTTCCTGATATTTTCATTTTTTGTAAATTTTATCCTAACTTTTATTTTGTATTAGCGGTGGTTTCTAACCTTTTATAAATATGCACCCAAAGTCTATTTAGACGGAAACCGTCCAAAACACTATCGGTTGACAAGGAAAATTAACCAACATCCAATAAAACCGTTTAAAGTATCGTCCAAAAATATCATCTAAAAAGGTATTAATATTCAATAAAATCGTCACAGTAGCAGATAGTTCAAGAAATTTTCACGATCAACTAACGGTATTTTGGACAGTTTCCGTCCAGATGGACCTCAGGTACATATTTATTAAAGGTTATGGAGCTTCGTTGATACAAAATGAAGGTTAGGATAAAATTTGTTAAAAAAAAGTTAGGGATCACTGGTGCAATTTTTCCTATTTATATTTATATTTTTCTTCCTATTTTTGTACTTGCTAAAAACACGTGGCAGTATATCTATGGTAAGTTGGACGTTTCGCCATTTAATTGATGTGAACAAGTCCTATGAAAATTCAAGAAGGGTTCTGAAGGAATGATAAAATAAATTGAAATCTGACATAAATTTTGAGAAATCGTGTCGGCAATCATCAACAGAAAATCATTTCAGTCCCGAGATAAGTTTGACAGGTTTCCGGTTTTATTTTATTTTATTTTTAACATTGCGTGGGTGGCTCACTTTTTTACCATTGATTTCAATTATACTTTATAAAATAATTTATGGCACAAATTCTTACACCTCATACAATATCAAGTTCAATTTGATTTTCATTTTTTCTCAAAATATATTTCTCTCTTTGTTTTTTTTTTAAATCACACATTTTTTATTAAAATAATATTACACATAAATCAAAACTTTTTTATTTATTTTTCAACTACATATTTCTCATCAATCTACTGGTCTGAACATTTTTGCATAAAAATGTGGTTCAAACACCCTCTCAATCTTATGCCCTATTTGATTTCCATTTTTGGGATAAAATGAATTATAAAATAGCATTTTTTGGAGAATGTGTTGTTAAAAAATAAGAATTTTTTTTGAAATACTCGTATAATTATTTTATAGAAGAATGTGTAGTTGAAAATGAATTTTGAAAAAATACATTATTAAAGAAATGAGCCTCAAACGAGTCTTTAATGTATACATGGAATGTACTATAGCATTTTCCAAATTATTTAGCCTATTTGGACTCCTTGTAGGAACAGTGTACATGCGGCTCTTGTTTTCTGACCTGCTATGGCACATCTCATGATTTACCTCCCTTACAAAGTTCTAGGGACGGGACGGTAGAGCTCTCAAGATTGGGGTTGAACTTTTTTTTTATAATTAGGTATCAAACAAGAATGGAGGTACCCACGAGGGATTGGCCCCACATTACAACCACAAATTGTCACGCATTAATTTCATTTCGGTGATGCCGATACGAGTACTTTTTGCATTAACTCAAATTTTGTTTGGTGTGGTAACATGTCACTTTCTTGGCAGTTTGGTTGATCTCTGAATTTGAAATTTGGAAAATATGGCGCTATTGCTCTTCAATTTGTTGTATTTACAAATAAAACAATTCTTAATTTTTCCAATACCGTAACATAATTAGTTTCTAATCAGAGAAACCGTCTAAATTTTCGTTGAATGAAATTAGTATGTATTAAAAGTATTTTTCAGTTGGTCATTAATCTGGAATTAAATAAGAAAGTGATGAAGTTTTAGAGTTCAAAAAGTGGATAAGTATATATGTACAAACTTAGGTGTACAAAATCTTTCACTCACTCTCACATATATGCGAGTCTCAGGTGCATTTTAAAAATGACGGCTTGTGGTCCCCATTCTTTGTTGTGAGTAGTGTGTAAACCATTTTGTAAAAAGTATGAGTACATGTAGAATTGTCCTCAAAAAGTATATTTTATTTGGTGTGTGATCCAACATGTTATATATGTAAGCGGCTTAGATTATATGATTTAGCTCTTCTCTAAAAGTCTCATTTTCATACTGGACTATGTTATCACTCCATTGGGCTTTTTGTGAGGAAATTTCAATCTATACAAATATTAAGTTGACCCCAACCTTGAGGGCCTCCACCGTCTCGTCTCTAGAGCTTTGTGAGGGAGTTAAATCGCGGGATGTGCCCCAACGAGTCAGGGAACAAGAGCTGTTTGTACACTGCACTTACAAAGAGTTCAATTCCATGTCTTAAGAATCGAATCCCCATACTGTGGCTACCAGCAATGTATGAGATAACCTCACTCTTGTCCTTTACACCACTGAACTATGCTCCGAAGGGCTATATAAATATTAGAATGTGTGCAAGTGATGATAAATCATAAAAGCAACATTATTTATCTTATAATATTTTCCAATTATTATTATTATTATTATTATTTTAGCCAACTTTCTTTTTCCGTTGAGACAGTAGATAAAGTAGCCTTGCTATTTTCCGAACTGGAAAGCAATCTATCAGTTAGAAAATATATTCGAAATAATAATAAAAAAATAAAAAACCATACAAAGACAAACACGGGCAGAAAGTGCATTTGGCTTAGATGTGAATTGCTTAAAAATGTAGTAATAATAAGAAATGTTTATGTTTATTTATGAACAACTAGTTCTTTTTTTATTAATGGTAAGAAAATTGAAGTTTCATCTTAAAAGGTAAACACAAGTAGAGTAATTTAATTTTTTATAAGTTCATCATCTACCTCATATCTACTCGATGCCGAAAGTTGTTCACATATTCCCAACAGTACTACAATTCCCTCTTCAAATAAAGTAGCGTAACTTAGCCTTTGTATTAGGACCACCGCCTGACCTAGGTACAACCGTCTTTAGAGTCGACCATGGATATTCTAGCCATAGCTATCAAATTTGGGGCACACCACCCTTTTCCAACTACAACGGGAAATTCGTCTTCTGCATTCACATGACTGAGCTTGTCTGAGAACTGAGGTCCACCTTTGATACTACTTATAAAGGAATTAAGGTTTTATTCCAAAAGGTTAACTCGTTAGGTAAAGCAACTCAATTTCGTATAAGCCAACCACAATCTAACCAATTTAGGACCTCATTCACACATTGCCTGTTGGGAATCTACTTATACATGCACAGCGAAAAATTAAAATTATTTCGATTCCCACCGAGGATCCCTTTGTGTTTAGATAAAAATCGTGATAAAGATTGTACCTTTGAAGAATTCTGCAAACTTTTTGCTTTTCTCTTCGTTCCAGCAATCTTGATTCGCCATCCACAGCTGTCCAATTGTCTAGCCTCCAACGGTGATCCACACAGAGAACAAGATTGCAGCTACCAGGATCTTCCTCTTATGCCAACAAGAATAATGAAAACCATATGGATCTCAA